ACTCCAACGCCTACTCCTACTACCACTACCGAAAGCACTACTACCAGAATTACCCCCACTCCATCTACCCCCACTCCTACTCCTACTATCATTTCCACTACAGAAAGCAGTACTACCACAATTACCACAACTCCATCTACTCCCACTGCAACACCTATTTCTACCACCATCTCCATAAAAACTCCTACAAGTGCAACGGCAGGATCCAGTACAGTACCACCTTGTGAGCTAGGAGATCATAATGTTAGTAATTCTTATTTTATTTATTTACATATTTAAAATTATGCATTGAACTTGGAGTTTGTTTATGTCTGCCATGCTCAGATGTCATCTATGCTTGCTAAATATCTTTGGATGCATAAAATCCAGAATTTGTACAAAAGTTGTTGAAACAGAAAATTATCTCCAAAATGTGCCTCAGAAAATTATCTTTTCAAAATTTCTGGGCAAGTCAGAATTAATTTTGTACATGATTTTTTTATTTTTTTTTACTGGTACTGGCTCATCTTCAAGTTTCAATAGAAATCTATTGTATATGGCAAGGGTCTTCAAACTCGGGAAGTTTAACACTTGTAGACTTCAACTCCCAGAATTCCTGAGCTAACATGACTGGAGGAGGAATTCTGGGAGGTGAAGTCCACAAGTCTTAAAGCTGTCAAGTTTGAAGACTCCTGGTTATGGCCTGGTCTTTTCAAGTGGGGCGAAATGTACAAAATTAATTATGATCATACAAACATAAACATGATGAGTCCATTTTATTGTATATTGGAAAAATGTAGCTAAAACTATGCTGGATGTCTCTGGAATTAGATTTCACTTAGATTATCAAGTTTTGGGCTTACTGGATGAGGATCTTGGATATTTTAGTCTAATACAGCTATAGGTTATTATTTTTTTAGTAGATTTATATCTATTTTATTTAGGAGGTGGGATATAGTGGGAGGTGGTTCAAGATGACATACCCAGTACTGTCTCCTGTTTTTTCTTCTCTCTGAGAGATTGTACTAAGATAATGCAACTGGTCCCAAATCATCCAGTGAATTTGGCCCAAAGGCACTTTTTCAAATGGCCACTGGACTTTGTTTTTTCTTGATGATGTTTCGCTTCCCATCCTAGAAGCTTCTTCAATTCTGACTGAATGATGGAGGATCGAAGGATGCATATTCCTTGTAATCATCTAGTTGTTGGTACTCTTCCTGAGAGTCATTGAGGCCACTTCGAGATTTATCTGTGCCCTCAGGGTCACCTGACTAATGTAAATGGGTATGGAACCTTCTCGGAATTGCTGAAAGGACTGTGTGGTAAACAGGAGATGGGGATGTCATATCTATCTCCCTCTTTTGTGAGGGAGCTGTTCAATCTTAATGTAGATGACTTATTTGACCCTTCTTTCAAACCATGCCCTTTCATGCCGGGTTTCTTCACTCCGAGCCCAGCATCTGATGTACATTCCTTCCCTCAGATAGGAGAGGGCCAAATTATTTTCCTTGGCTGATTCTTACATTAATCAAAATGGGGAAAATGCTTTTGTCATGTGAAATGATTTCAATTTCCTGTACCGTCTCTGTTTAAGCATAGTTAAATCTTATCTAATGTCACATGCAGAGCCATCATGTCTGGTATTGTATTACCAGAACACATTAAAACAAATTCAACATATTAATGCTAAGGTGACCAACTGTCCTCCTTTAGTAAATTCTGTCCTCTCCCGAAAAGTGTCCTCCTACATGTCCTCCTTTTTGATATTTGAAGACTAATCTGTAAATCTCTGTATTTGATTGATGCCGATCCAATCCATTGTGTGTTATGTGACGTATTTGTATTTGACATGACAATTCGTCAAGGCTCGGTACAGTGCGGCGAGACGCGATTATGAGATGCATGCACTCCACACAGGAGAATTGTTTTGAGAGGCTGTGCACAAGAGTGCGCCATGTGCAAGAGTGCGCCACACGCAAGAGTGTGCCGTGCGCAAGTGGCTGTGTTTTTTTTTCTTCAATTTATTTGTGTCCTCCTTTTCATTGTAAAAAAGTTGGTGACTTTACTAATGCAGGGGTGTCAAACTCCATTTCATTGAGGGCTGCATCAGGGTTATGTTTGATCTTGGGGGGACGGGTGTGTGTGTGTGGCCATGTTGGCCATGGCCAGTTGGACATCACTTGTGTCGGGGGCGCCTGTGGTGGCCTGAGCACTCTGCCAGCAAAAATTGGCTCCTGAGCTCTGTTTTTGACTGCGACGGCATCCTGCAACCTCTGCCAGTGATAACAGAGCTCAGCAGAGCTGCATGCAGCCCTTGCGAGCTCTGATTTTGCTGGCAGAGGCACCGCAGGCCAGTCTTTTGATGTTTCCAGAGCGGCCCCATGGGCCAGATCTAAGCATCCTGTGGGCTGGATCCAGAAGTTGTGGGTGCTCCAACACTGGAGGTTTTAAAGAAGAGATTGGACACCCATTTGCCTGAAATGGTATAGGGTTTCCTGCTTGAGCAAAGGATTGGACTAGTAGATCTCCAAGACCCCTTCCAACTTTGTTTTTCAGTTAAATTAGTTCTTCTAATCCATTCATATATTGCATGTTTGGCCAGGATTATAAAGTGTGATATGTTTTTTTCTCTGTTGTCTCAGGTACAGCCAGGAGAAAGTGGGGGGATATGTAATTGCACCGAGTTAGTATGTGTTACGGGTAACATATGGGAGATGCACCCTGTCAAGTGTGACAAACCACCGAAGCCCACATGTGCCAATGGGCTTGCTCCTATAGAAGTATTGGATGAAAATGGATGCTGCCCGCATTGGGAATGTGACTGTGAGTACATTTATATAAACAATTTTGACGTTCTTTTGAAGCTCAAGAGAACTCCTCAAGCTATTGGACTGGTGTTGTACTGCACATACTGTACTACCTGAAAGAGCTGCTAATTTGTGTAAATTGAACTCAGAGTGAAGAGATTCAGGGATCAATTTCAGGAGATGGGATGAAAATATAAAGAAAGGCATTCTTTAAAAAAGAGCAAGAAAATGCATTGATCCATGTTCAAACAAGAAATCAACACCTATGCCTTTGACATTAAGAATGCTTCCTTATAGAAAATTAGCATGCAGAAACACTGGAGGGCTGAAATATTTGGTAGACAATTAAAACGAAGGAAACTAAATACCATATTAATAAGAAAGCCAGTTTGCATAGTGCGTAAGGCACTAGGCAGAAGACTAGGAGTTCTAGTTCTGTCTGTGGCACAAAACCAGCTGAGTAACTTTGGGCCTGTGATGACCCAGGGTGGGATATAAAACAAACACAGTCACAGAAAACAGGTGAAGCCCCTTTTATTCCTTCACTTTGCTTCCAAGCTCTGAATATTCTTGATGGAAGACAAAAAACTCCCACACAAACAGGTACAAGAAGAAGGAAAAAAGCAACACAAACCAGGCAAGATAAGGGCTGGAGGACGTCCACAGATAACACACACTGGGAAAGATGCCAAACTCAGAGAGGAACCATAAACTAGAGATATTTCCATGCTTTGTTTCCAGCGTTCACCCGTACGCATGTCCATACTCTTATTCAGTTGTCACAGCTGCAGCCCATGAAGAGGATCAAGGCTCTCTCCTCCCGAGTACACCACGTCTTTCCCTTATCCTCTCCTCCCTGCGTGCCCTACGATGGAGAAGGGATGGGCCCGGGTCCTCCTCTGACTGCTCTGCCGGCCTCTGCCCTTCCCCAGCCTCCTCCACAACCTCTGGAGCCACACTTCCACTCCCTGTCAGGCTGTTCCTCCTCTCCCTCAGAGTCAGGCTCCACCAGGGGTATGACAGGGCCATTCATTCTCTTTCAGCCCTAGGGAAAAGGCAATGGCAAATCACTTCCAAAAACTTACCAAGAAAACTTCAGGAACTTGTCCAGGCAATCACTCAGAATCAGCACTGACTCAAAAGCACTCCGAAATAAATAGTTAAAATAATTGAAAAAAAACCAAAAACACCTAATGATATTTTCAGATACCATTTCAAGCATGCTATTGCCGCTGGGAGGAACTTTTCACGTCATAGATGGAACAGATACAATTCACATATAAAGTATCTAATTAATGAAAAAGTGCTAATTAGCATAATTTTTCTCCCGGATGGGAGAAAAATGTACATTACTAATTGTATATATTGGCACTTCTGAATAAAACAAATGTCTTTTAAAGAACAGATGCAGATAAATTTATTCTTTTGAAAGAGCACATGCAGATAGGTAAATAAATAAATAAACTTAACCTCATAAAACCTTACATTAGACAATCTAAGCCAATTCAAATAAATAAAAATACCCTTCCCCCATCATATTCTTATTATCTGGCAATTGCTTAAAATACTGAGCAAAATCAAAATTAAAAAGTGAAAGGAAGGAAAGAACAGTTTCCAGTGTGCTTTTCCCATTGAAATGCTTCTGTCCCTCCTCCGGGATAATTCTGTACTTGAGAAGCAATGTGAGAATTTCTCTTTCTTTTGGAGAAATTTCAAAGAATCGTCCACTCAATGGACAATTTGTCATTTCAAAGAATTTACTATTTCAAAGAATTTTTCAGACAATTTCAATATTCCATTTGTGCTCATCTCTGTAAATGAGAATGACAATATTTTATTCCAATCACAGGTTTCTTGACAATTTTTGCTAGATTTTCTAAACTAATTTATTCTCAAAATCCATTAGGACCCCTTGCTATTTCTTTTAGTTATTTATAGGAGTTCCCATCAAATAATCAACTCTATTATCTTTCTGAAGGCTATTGCACTGGCTGGGGAGACCCACATTACATGACATTTGATGGACTCTACTACAGTTACCAAGGTAATTGTACCTATGTCCTAATGGAAGAGATTGATCAAACCATCCACAACTTTGGAGTGTACATCGATAACTACCACTGTGATCCAGCGCAATCTGTCTCTTGCACCCGTACTCTCACTGTAAAACATGAGTCCCAGGAAGTGCGCCTCAAAACGGTCAAACTGGTTCCTTTGAAAGTAGAGGTATGTGTGAAATGACTTACATTTCAGTACAAAATTGTAAATAACAGTTATGACTAGCAAATCTTTACTTACCCAGGTTCAGCTGATAATTTACTCTACCAACCCTGCATATGGTCAGTAGCAGACGGTCTCTGGGACGCATAATCACATAGAGTATATTATAGTACTTCTCACTGTTACTTCACAACAACCCTTTCAATTGATAATTTACAGATCATTCATATTAATGTTCCAATATCTCCAATTTTCACCTCAGCTGAAAAAAAACCACTCCAAAAAAACCTTATCTTTGAGGGTATATATATATATGGTGGTTCAAAACAGCCACATTTTTCTCATTCTTCAAGAACTGCTTCCCTTTGGCTTTTCTCTCCTATCTCTTTCAGGTAACTCTGTAACTTTTACTTGTTCCTTTCACTAAATCCTTCCTAGATAGACAATATCTACCAGGTGGCTTCATGGATTTCACTACAATAGAATTTTGAAATGTACTTTCATTTAAAGCAGAGAGTGGAGGGCTGTGGAAAGGAGAAAAGAAAACTTCCAAAATGTTTAATGTGTAGCAAAGAACCTATGCAATGTCCTTCTTCAACTTAAAAAAATGGCTTCAAAACTTAATAAATAAGCAAAATGGATTAGCAGCTCCTAAGCAAATACCATCAATTATCCCATTCCGAAATAATAGCCATCAGGCACATTTGAGAAAACCTTTTTGTTAACCTTTGGACCTGATCATAAGGTTTGCACTGTCTTGAAATTTAAACCAGCCCCAAGGATTGAATGACTTGCGCAGGCAAGTATGACTCATTGAGAAGTTGCAATTCCCAGGGTATTCAAACCAAGTTTTAATAGTACGTAAGTCCATTGTTTATCTCCTTGGCGAACACACTATCTGTACTTTCTTTATGTTTGGCAACTTTAACTGTTTATGGGAAAGTACCTGATGCCCAGTTACAATGCTCAGTGCAACATAAACTTAACAGTTGTAGTTTGCTGGCAATATTCTATTGGCTTCCTTTCTGTAACGATTTATTTCCCAGGTAAAATAAGTTCTGCTCTCCTCCATTTTTACAAATAAAGAAAACTTATGGCTCCCCTATTCCTAGAAAGAGTAGCCCAAACTTGTGGAGTTCGGCCTCAAATTAGCCATGGCCTATTTTTTTCCACAAACCAGATTTTAAGCCTTGACCCAATATTACTCATGTCATATGGCGTGGATGTCAAACTTGATCACGTCATGTGTTGCATCACAACATATTGTGACATTTTTTTTGTCTTTGCAGAGCCAGGGTGGGTGTGGGCTGCAAGTGGCACATCTGGCCTGTGAGCCGCCAGCTTCACACCCCTGTCATATGGGATCAATTGGCCTAATGTTAGCTATGGTCCTTGGTACCATTTTAAGTTGCTGGGTATTATCTCAGTGGGCCTTGTACAGAGGCACATCTGGCTATAAGGAGATTCTGCTTGCAGCACATTTATACTTGACATAATCATTGATTGTGACTAGCTAGCATTTCTTTGTAATAAAATGCTCATATCACAGTGTTACAGAGGAAAAATACTGCATATCCCAGCTATTACATCTAGTGCCCGTCCTCCAAAATCATTTGCAATCCGATCTAAGATCTTTACTCAAACTGTGATATGAATTTGATAGCATTGTTGAAATAATAATTGAACCTGATGAGAACCACTAGTCTTCCTCAGGGTGGAACAACAAATGTTGCAAGTATATTTTTATTTTGTGCATTCAGTCAACTATCAAGTAGTTAATAGGCTCAGTTATATTATGGGATCCCCAGGTTTGTTGACAAAAGCATGTTTTGAGGTTCTTCCAGTCTGTCTCTGTCTGTCTGTCTGTCTGCCTGCCTGCCAGCCTGCCTATATATAAAATTTTCTTAGGTATATCATAATTAAAAGATATGTTGGGGGGACTATTTCATTGTAACCATGGTTCCTATTTAATTATATTTTTCTGGCTTCTTGAACATTAGGTGACTGTAAATCATGTGGCAGTGGCTTTACCTTATGAAAAATATAGCATGAAGGTTTACAAGGCTGGTATAAACCATGTGGTGGAACTACATAGATTGAAGATTAATGTAACATACAATGGCATGGCCTTCACAATCCGAATGCCCTATAGCAATTTTGCCAACAATACCCAGGGACAATGTGGTAAGAATGACTATACTTACGTTTGTAAAATGAACATTGTAAAGTAGATGATTGAAAAGCTATCTGCAACGTACAAGGTAGACATTCTGACATAACATCCAACAGGCCAATTCTAACGTATATAAATTATGTAATAATAATTTTGCATGTCACTGATTTTTTTCCAACACTGAGGATTGTTGACATATGATATAAAAAGCAAGCATGCATAGGGAAAGTACAAATCTTTTGGTATCAGCTATGTGTCTTTGTATGGTTTCCCCCTTCTTTTTAGTCTTTGTATTATTATTGTCAGTGTAAAGGTTATTGCCAATTTTTTACATATTACTGTTATTACAAATTTACTGTAGGTAGCAAATTATTCTTCATCAAATAATATGATGTATGAATTTTTGAGTGGTTCCTTTGTCACTTCAATTTAGGAAAATGCAACAACAATATCCATGATGACTGTATGTTACGGAATGGGACTGTTATACCTTCTTGTGAAATAATGGCAGATGACTGGATTATTTATGATCCAGAAAAGCCACATTGTGAACATATGCCCCCACCTCCACCTCCACCTCCTTTCCCCTGCAAACCATCTCCATTGTGTGAGCTTCTAAAAGGAAAGTAAGTAGTCTGTACATTACTTTCACATTTGATTTTTTTCCTGATTTTAAACTATGCCATACACTTATGATCTGATTTTTCTCCAGTAGCCTGCACTACTATCTATCTATCTATCTATCTATCTATCTATCTATCTATCTATCTATCTATCTATCTATCTATCTATCTATCTATCTATCATTAATAACCTTCCAATTTGATCTAGTAACATTGCTCTCATCACACCCTCATCTCATTCATGAAATGGTCTTGTCATTATCTGTCCTGAAATAAAATTAAAAAAATCTGCCTTAAATTGACACCGTCCAACCATAATGTCATGGTGTGGAACATCTAGAGCTTTTTGTCAGCCATACAATGGTCAGCTGACCTGTTATGGGTATCAGTAGAGGTTCATTTGGGAAGTGTTGGATCAGCAGGGTGATACAGAAAATTCTAACTCTTTGCTACATTCTAAGTTGCCCAGAATTTTACAACTCAAACTGGATAGTTTTTAAATCTGTCCATAAAAGCTTACATTATTTTCCCTGCTAGCTTAGTAGAATGTTCATTGTCTTTATTTAAGGTGTCTGAAAGATGATCATTTACCTTAAAGAAATGCTCCTATACCATCAATGATCTCATACTTATTATATATATATATATATATTTATCCAGTATATTTCAGAAGTGTCATCGCCTTGTTGACTTTAAAAGCTACTATGATGCCTGCGTGTTTGATAGCTGCAGAATGCCCAACCAATTCATGGAATGTGCAAGTCTTCAAATTTATGCAGCAACCTGTGCAGATCAGGGGGTTTGCATTGACTGGAGAGGACATACCCAGAAAGCATGCCGTAAGTCTCCATTTCTAAAATTTGTCTGGAACTGAACAAAGAACTACAGGACATGCCTTTCCAAACAACCTGTCTCCCACTTTAGTGGGAGAACACCAGTGAAATTGTGTACAGTAATTTGAAACATCTTACTTTATTTAGGTGATTGTGTTTTCTATTCTTGGAATCTATTCTTTTTTTCCTTGAAATGTGGTCAATCTGTTGATGAAAATGCTCTGGGGATAAGAAAGTTGTAGAAGGTGTATCAACATTTGGAACGTACATGTTAAAACAGCAAAGAAATAGCAGATGAATGAAAAAGTGGCATGTAGAGAATGGGGACAGGTCACCCTCCATTTCTCTTTTCTTCTGCTAGCATCTCCTGGGTTCTTCCCAATATACTCAGTTATTCATTCCCCTAATGTGGGTAGCTTATGCAGCAGAAATTAGATTACTGTCAACTCATAAAATATTTCTATGGTCTTTTTAGAGTTACCAACAGAAAGGGAGGAGGAAAGGGGTTTGAAAGAGCAGTGTGGCAGCTTGGAAATTGAAAGTGGATTCCATAAATACTTTTCAAAGATAGTAACTAGGTGACTGAAGTTTCTGCAGTGCAAAATTCTAACTGGAGAACATGATTGATGACTCTTGGCTATGGATGTGTCTCATTGGAGAATATGACTTATGATACATCCAGGGGCTGGGGGAAAACCAGGGTCAAGGGTGACAATGAATGATATGTCTCAGAGTCAGCTACACCCAGGCAGTGCCTGGGACATGTGAACTCCCAATAAATCCTTTTGAAGTTTTGGAAGTTTGGCTCGAGACTCATGATTTAATTGGGGTAACTGCCGGAATCCTGACAATCACTTCATACACCAGAGGTGAAATGTTCATCCCATCAAGTGAAGTCGAGGTGCAAAATAATTGGATAATAGACAAAAGTCAGCTTTTTCTGTAATTATAGAGCAGAAGATAACTTTGTAATCATGCTTGCAAAGGAAATCAGAAGCTTCTTTCTATTTCTTTGTATTCTTTCTCTTCATTTTTCTTTTTTCTTTCTCCCTTTCTTTGTTCTCTTTATTCTGTCTCAGTTTATGTTAGTTTTAAACATTACAACATTTAATTAAAACATCTAATTAAAAATGTTTCTAAAAAAGAGAGAGGGATTGGAAGAGGTCCAGGAAGGAAGAAGTATAGGCTAATTAATCTCTTTCTACCACCTTCTCCTGCTTCTAAGGGCTAACAAAGTGTACCTTCCTCTTAGCTTAATCTTATCTCCTAGCTCATGATTGAAATTTGGGTTGTTATTCGTAGCATGAGCATAAAAGTTATATTATTCCCCAAATGTGATATACAAAGGCAGTCCCCAAGAATGGAAAAAATCTGCTAAGCTTTGCCAAACTTTATTTTGGAACGTGTTATCATTCATCCATTGTATCATCTTCATCTGTATTCTCCTTTCTTTTTTTTTCCAGTCAATATCTGCCCGCCCAATAAAGTGTACAAAGCATGCAGTCCTGCTATAGAAGAAACTTGCAAATCAGGGTAATTCATTTTCTGACATTCCAGACTCAGAATTATTTAAATGTAATTATTTTTGCAGTGTTGATGTTGAATATAATATCCCTGTGTCTGTCATCTTAGATAGCAGGGTTCCTATCCTGTTAGAAGAAATCCAGATCTCAGTTTTTGAATGAGATAAGCAGCCATATAAATGTGATAAATAACTAAATGTAAACTCTTAAAATGCTGGATCTGGCTTAGAAAATATATAACCTATGAATGCATACCTTGCAATTTACACATTTATTGGGCCAGTCATTTAGTACAAGAAGCACATCCCTTCCTGCCCTCTGAGTTGTCATATGATTCTGGGAAGCAACGCAACTGCTTGAGAGATATTACACTTGTCCTTCTGTATGTCCCAAAACACCTTTAATTAAAGCTGCAAGTTTTTGTTAGATATGTGAATAACTGTTGATTTGTTTACCTTTTTCTGTTGTAGCTTAACAGGACAGAACCAGACCCAACAAATAGAAGGGTGCTTCTGTCCTGAGGGGACCAAACTTTATGACACTGCTATAGATGTATGTGTGGAAACTTGTGGTAAGTGACTCTTCTTTTTCTCAAACATCCTTAGAATGTAGTCCGATATCTGCTTGCATCCGGGAGTAAATCTCATTGAGCTCAATGGAGTTTACTTCTCAGTTGGCATGCATAAAATTACATTTCTATTGTTCTCATTAATACAATTTAAATAATAGAAATTATCTTAACATTAACGGCGATACCTTTGTTTTTAGGATGTGTTGGACCGGACAATATTCCCAGAAAGGTAAGCAACATGTCTGTTTCTTATGCATGAGTTGGACAATGAACTCTATATTTTCTAGAATAGGCTTGTTTTATGATAGAATTCTGACCTCTCCCCCCCTTTCAGCTTTATTTTACACTTTTATCTACTTGCAGAACTTATCCATGCTAATAAAGCTACGTGATAAAGAATTTGAGGAGGGTAGCTTGATCAGGGGTGCATAGAGCTTTGTTTAGCAGAAAGTCACAGTCTTATATGAAAGTCTCCAGCATTATATGAGTGGCAAGAAACAAAAAAGAATCTATTGATGATGATAGCTATGATAATAATCTATTAAGGTTTATCATAAATCTTACAGGAATTTCAATGATGGGATTATTAGATGACTAAACTCAGGATGGTGGTGGCATTTGTATGCAATTTATACATCGCCCAAAGTCACCGTGGGTAGTAAGATAGGTGTCATATAAATTTAGTAATAATAATATCAAAGCTCCAGCCCTTTTTATGTGCATCATCTATAAAAAAGTTCTGAGCTTCAATCATGTGAATGGAGCTTCCCTTTTTAGTTTTTTATTTGCCGATCTGCTACCCAATGAGTTATTAACTCCTAGAAATTCCTATAACATTTATCATAGTCCTTCAATGGTGCATGTAGGTGGGATCAGATTCGTTCTGCTTAATATTCTATAGGTTCTTACACTATTAATCAGTTACTTTTTTTCTCATTGACAGTTTGGGGAGACCTTTCAGTTTGACTGCAAAGATTGTATTTGCCTGGAAGGTGGAAGTGGCATTATCTGTGAATCCCACAAGTGTCCGGTACCAGTTCATGAAGTACAGTGTGAAGGAGAAGGATATCAGAAGATCACCAAAATTAATCCTGATGACAAATGCTGTTCACACACCGTGTGTGGTGAGTATGTCCATGTAGGCACCATATGTCAATGATAGTGATACTGTGTGACCTATAATCTGTACATTTAGCAATTGCAATATCACTTAGACTTATATACTGCTTCACAGTGCTTTTACAGCCCTCTCTAAGAGGTTTATAGAGTCAGCATATTGCCCCCAGCAATCTGGGCCCTCATTTCACTGACCTCAGAAGGATGGAAGGCTGAGTCAGCCCTACCTGAGCCACTTAGATTCAAACTCCTGGAGTGAGCAATAAATTAGCCTGCAGTACTGCATTGTAACCACTGTGCCACCCAGTGGTGGGATTCAAAAATTTTTATACTGGTTCTGTGGGCGTGGCTTGGTGGCAGGAAAAGGATACTTGTAAAATCTCCAGTCAGAGGTGGTATTTGCTGGTTCTCCAACCTACTCAAAATTTCCGCTACCGGTTTTTCAGAACTGGTCAGTACCTCTGGTGCCACCATGGCCACCATTTATTTCTTAATGTCATCTCTCTCAGACAACCAGGCTAGAATTTCTCAGTATAGAAAATATAATTGTATTTCAAGTGATGTGCATTCATGGTTCAACTCATTTATAAAGCATTATTACAAAGAAAGCTAACTTAATAAGATTTTCTCATTACAGTTTTTTCAATCTATAGGAAAGTCTCTAAGTTTAAAGAATTTCCAAGAATACAGTTGCTTTGTTTTGCAATAGATTGTGCTTAGAAGAAAAGGGATAATTTGCCAATGTGGAAGTTGAATTTTTCCTTTCTCCATCGTAGTGTGCAACACCACTCAATGTACAACCAAGCCTCCTCAGTGTGAACCAGGATTCTTAGCTGTTGCTAATACCATTGAAGAACACTGTTGTCCTTCTTATGATTGCAGTAAGTCTCTCTTAACTAACTTTGGAAGGATGAATATATGGCTTTGGAAAATTCAGCTTGACACTTTGATCCTAAATGTGTTACATTAGAATTATGTACAGTTTTTATCAATGGAAATTGTTTCCACCAAATATTTATGTTATCACCTAGCACTTATCAGCTTAAAGCAAATCAAATTTAGAATACAGGTACTTTGCAATGAACTGCATAATATCCTGCTCACAGGTTTTTAAAAATTCCTTCCATATATATAAATTTGTCTTTTTTCTTGTCCATCTATAATATATCTGATTTATACATCCTTGTTTTTATGCATTAATTTGAACAATACATAATAGAAATCTATAATTCCTTGAGTTCATGTGAACTTCAGTAGAACAGTCTATGGAGGTGACCGATAATTAGGAATGAAGACCTTGGTTCACCTACATCTCCCCAAATCTCCTACCACTGGCCATACTGGGATCACTGGTGGTTTTAAAACAAACTATTTGGGATATATATCCATAAGGTACTACACAGTTCAGAGTTATTTAAATAAAAAAATAAAATAAAAAGCAATATATTCAGCAGGCATTAATAAATGCCATAATTGGGGAGAAAAGATGAGAAAATGTCTTGTTACTTTACTTAACGTTACATACTAGAGAAAGTATATCAACAACAAAATACAGTTACTTTTAAGCAAAGAGCATAAAGTACTGACAAAGATTTTTAAACAATTATTTTCTCTAGATCCTAAAAAAGTGTGTGTGAAGGATGGTAATGAATATAAGGTAAACTTTTCCTTTCTTCTTAAGAGGGATTTTTCTTTTAAAAAATAATGAAACTCATAGCCTACCTTTTACCAGAGTTGCAACTGAAGAAGGCTTATTTAAAAAAGGAAATAGAAGAATGAGTTATAACTGAAAGTTAGTGAGCATCATGTCAGGGAAAATAGCAAAACCCAGGAAAGAGTTGTAGAAGACAAACGTAAGGGAAGATGCCTACTGTATACAACCTGGCCCAAGGCATTCTGGGATAACCAGGATTCCAGCACTTGGTCATTTAACCTGCTTTTAGAACCAACCAACTTTTCCAGTTTTGTTACCATGCTTAGGTCTTTCAGGATACCTCAGTAATACCCAAAGTACATATCTACTTCGAAATAAGTTCTATTGAAATTGATACTATAGAAAACCTTATGCATGTTTATAAGCGATCAGACACCATTGAGCACAGAAGGATTTGTTTCTGTCTAGACCAAGAGGTCTGGGTCTGTGGCCCATAGATTGGTAAAGTCTCCTCAACAGATCATGCTGGAACTATTGTGCTGTCCAGTTGGGAGAAGTTGCAGTTGTGCAGTGTTGTTTTCAAGTATATACTATCTGCTAGTTTAGAAGTAAGCTGAACCGAACCCTCTATGGCTTTGGGATGGAGGGTGGAGAAGCAGTGAGAAACTTTTGTCTCCAAGGCAGAAGTCGATTGACAAAGCTCTCCGTGGCTAGGAAGCACAGTATGCTTTAAAAGTGAGACATATGATCCTCAGACTCAAATGGCTGATCTGAACAATGTTTTCAACCATGGTTTTCAACCACTTTATGCAAGTGACAAAAAAGAGGAAAAGTAGTGAAGAGCTGGGTTAGCAAAGGGAGATTAAGAAGTTGTAGAAATGAAGCAGAGAATATGGCTATAGTGCTGCCATGACGGATTTGTGATGGGAAGTGGGAGGATAGTCAGGGGAATGGGATTGAGAAGCCTTCAAAGATGTTGTTCAGGAATCCTCAATTCTTGCCTAAACATGCATTATGGAAAAAAATAAAAAGAGGCAAAAACATAAATGGATTAATAGCAAGGTGATATCAGCCTTCTGGGTAAACCAGATAGGAAACATGATTAGATGAGCTAATTCTACTTTATTGTAAGGCTACATTAACAGAATTGGGATGCGGTGGCTCAGCGGCTAAGACGCTGAGCTTGTCGATCAGAAAGGTCGGTAGTTCAGTGGTTCGAGTCCCTAGCACCGCATAACGGAGTGAGCTCTTGTTACTTGTCTCAGCTTCTGCCAACGTAGCAGTTTGAAAGCATGTAAAATGCAAGTAGAAAAATAGAGACCACCTTAGTGGGAAGGTAACAGCATTCCATGTGCCTTCGGCATTTAGTCATGCCAGCCACATGACCGAAATTATTAGCAGAAACGACTAGCATGTATAAAGAGGAACCTTTACCTTTACATTAATAGACTCATGCAAATCTGAAGTACAAACTACTAGCTGAATTTTTGACCATACAATTAATTAAGTTTCTTTATCTGAGTCTTAAACCACTGGAGGCTCTTGTCTGATCATTTCCTAGGCAATATCTTTTTCCCCATCCTGAAGGTCATTCTCAAATAGCACTACAAGGGAATAGTAAAGTAGACAATTAGCAAGAATAGAATTAAAGAGTTAGAGGCTTAAGAATCCATCTAATAAATTCTGAAACTGCAGCAAATTCTCTAATCCCTAGTGGCCTTTCTCATATCAGAGTTTCAATAATTTTGTAACAAAGATATTGCATCAGATCTGCTTTATCTTATTCTTTGCTAATGAATGAATCGCCCTGCTTTGTTCCAGCCCGGTTCAGAAGTCTTAGGAAGCCAGTGCCAGAAGTGTATATGCACAAATAAACAAAACAGCACCACTCTTCTGAATATCATAGAGTGTAAGAATATCCCATGTAACGTGAAGTGCCAGGCGGTAAGTAGTTCCACTTATATAAGCAGACAACGCACTATGTGGGAAAACAAGAGGACAAGCACAGTGGTGGGGTTCAATTTTTTTTACTACCGGTTCTGTGGGTGTGGCTTGGTTGGCATGGCAGGGGAAGGATACTGTAAAATCTTCTGTCAGAGGTGGGTTCTCCGAACTACTCAAAATTTCTGCTACCGGTTGTCCAGAAGTGGTCAGAACCTGCTGAATACCACCTCTGGACAAGGAGGACTGTGGAAGAACTGTTCCCTGTAACCTAATTATGACGTCTCCAAGCTTGAGGGCAAGCTTCGCTGTTGAGTGAAGCAGCCATTTCTGACAGCAGAAGTGCTCAACTGAGAACAGCACTGAAGATATAGCAGAATAGATGGCTTCCCATCCAAGCTAGCATATTATCCCCAGGTGGACTGAATTCTATCATTCTGCAGCCAAAATTGAAGCAAGACTAATTTTTTTTTCCCCAAAACAATCAGCTTATGTATAGGACTGGGATGGAGAGATTTTCATCCTTTGCCTCTAGCAAGAAAAGTATCTTGGGTCAACCATACAGAACAAAATATCATTAAGGAAGAGAGAAAAAGCCAAAACAGTTTAAAAAAGAGAGAGAATTGAACATTGTTGATAGGTCCCAAATGCTGAGAAGGAGGAAGTAGAAATCTTGGGAGTAAAGTGGTTGAATAGAGGAGGGAAAGCAAGTAAAAGTTGTACGACAACCTCATCAATCATATTATTGTGATCACCTGGAATTACAGGAATTGCAGCCCCAAATATTTAGAATTAGGATTTCAAATTAGACAATAGCTGGTTCTAATAATAATAATAATGAGTGCATTTGGAGACAGACTGGCTCAGGGACACTGTGCCTTCTTTATGATTTCTTTCACCCTAGAACTGAAGTAGAGCTTGTCCTAGCAGAAGCTCCCTGCCATACCCAGCAGTGCCAAGAACCTCAAGCTGCCTTGCCAGGAACCTAATCCCTTTAGTCTCAATGGCCAGCCACATGTATAGAAATTTTGGGCAGAGCAGAAGCGTGTCTAGTAGGGGCTTGCCTATCACTGCCCTGGAACACAAATGTCATGTCATTCCATATCCATCTTGCTGACTGCTTTTTCACAGCCTGTCCTACCCAACCAAGATTATAGATCTTGTTGAAACCACCAGAGCTTCATATTAGCTCAATAACTTCAAGACTCACTCCCAAGACTACAGCATCAAAGATAAGCCCAGAATTTACCTGGGCCTCTTTGGCCCAGATGCAAAACCCCCAAAACACCCTACAGAAAAGCACTAGGGAGGCTCCCTTGCTGGTAAGAATCGCATGTGGTGTGGTATCCATGGACAACAAGTTCACTGAAGATTCCACCCTTTGGGGAAAAAAAAATCTACCCAGGTTAGAGATGTCTTCTGATCTCAGAGGATCAGTTGATCCTCCTTGACTAGCCCTGTATTTCTGCCTTTTATGATATTCTTAGGCAAAGATATTGAGAAAATAAGTCACTATCTGCTTTCCAGGCTGGAGGTAGCTTGACCTGCTCCATTTTTGCCAGTTTTGAAGGCACAGCAGAGCAACTGAACAACCAGTTGGCATTAATGGATTAGTCTAGTTAGATAACAGCTCCATCTGGAAGGACCAGATTGCCTATCTCGGAACAGAGCACTGAAGAAAGGACGGCTGTATGGAATTTGAATAAGAATACTTGGTTTTATTAATTTTTTTTAAAGTCCTATATATCTTGTATATCTCTTTCTCTGTAGGGCTATTCTCCTATTCTACACCCTGGTGACTGCTGTCCAATATGTGTGCAGACAAGTTGTGTTATAAGAACAATAGAAAATGACATTGTCATTTTAAGAGTAAGTTTATTTTTTTCATAATTATCTTCAGGTAGTAATGCTTTTATTGGCATTCCTACTGGATAGAATGTGGAAAAATGTGGGGGACAATTGGAAATTTGTCACTGCATCAGCACCTCCTCATGATTTTCCTTAATCCACTATCCTCACAATATCTAGGCGTCTGTGTGAAATTTCTCCAGAGGATATGCATTCAGATTAAGCACAAATAGAAAAAAAAACTAATGCATTTCTATTGAGTTTATAATTGTTATAATACAGAATGAATGCAAAAGTGATATAAGAAATGACTACGGGCATATTCATATCTATTGTTTTCACTTATAAGAAATGGGCTTGGGTATATTCATATCTATTTTTCCAATTTATTTTGTCTACTTCACTATTGTAGATTGAGGGGATGAGGTCCTGAGTGGGTACAAGCATCAACAGGGTTAGTCTTGATAGAAATTGCAAGAAAAATAATGGAGACTTGAGGCACACAAATCTCAATAAAATAAGGGTGAGGGAAATTGAGTAAAGGTTAGAATGGAAATAAGAAAACAAATGTGGCATAAATCAAAAGTTGAAAAACTTTATTCCTTTACATATTGTTTAACTTCTCTAATTTTCTCTGTATTCCATCCTTCTGCTGCTGACAAAGGAGCTTCCTTGCTTGGTCTCTTCTCTGCACACTTTCTAGAGTCTCAACATCTTTTCTATATCATAGAGATGCAATATTCCAAATGTGGCCCTACCAGGATGTTATAAAATGGTATTAACACTTCATGTGATCTTGATTCTATCCCTCTGTTAATGCAGCCTAGGACTGCACTGGATTTCTTGGCAGCTGCAGCCCACTACTGGCTCATATTTAAGTAATTGTCCTCTAGGATTCCAAGATCCTTCTCACAGTTACTACTATTGAACTAGTTACCACCTATTCTATACCCGTGCATTTGGTTTTTCTTGCTTAAATTACTTTACTCACCACTGAATTTCATTTTACTAGATAGGCCCCAATGTTCAAGTCTCTCTAGATCCTTCTGTATTTTGAGTCTATCTTCCACATTGTTGACTATTCCTGTCAGCTTGGTATTGTCTGCAAATTTAATGAGTCCCTCCTCTACCTCTTCATCTTACAGCCCTATTGGTTTGGCCCTCCATGTCTGTCCCAGTTTTTCATGTGACCCTTGGGAAAATTAATTGCTCACCCCGTTCTATAGCCTCTCAGGTCTCAAGTACGAGTGACACAATTGGTGGGGAAAGGATTTATCATGTTAGTTAATTTTCATTAAGAGGATGCCTCCATTGAATGTCTACCATGCTCTTTTTTGGGCGGGGGGGGGGGGGGGGAGATTTTTAACAAACAGGAACCTATTTAGTCCTGAACTTATTTCCTTCTTCCAAACAGCCTGGTGAAAGTCAGAATGATCCCAAAGACAACTGTACTATTTACAGCTGTACGAGGATTCATAGACAGCTGATTTCCTCTACCTCTGTGATCAAGTGCCCAACATTTGATGAGAATAGATGCCAACCTGTGAGTTAAAAGTTGAATCTACACATATGATGTTGTGAAAAAAAATAGTTTGATTCAGATTGAATAGGATAGAAGCAAGAGCTGAATCAAGTAGATTTTATGTGGGTTGCTGGAACAATGTAATATTTAATACCAAAAAATAAGCAAACAAAGATGATTCAGACTGGAAAAATTTATCATTTAAATACAAAAATTAATTATTACACATGTTTTATTGCATCAAGTTATCACAGCACAACCAATAAGGTGAAAAGTCAGAGGTTTCAAGAATTCATTCCCAGAAGTCCTTTGAGTTTATACCTCCTGGCCTAACCTTTGGAGCTTCTCCTGTCACTAGCTGTCTTCCAGAGAATCTCATCTGGTATGTTCAGCCCAGTGTGTAAGATAAGACACTCAGCACTTATAATTGACAGTGAAAGGAGAAAAATGTGAGCGAAAATGAAATAATTCTTCTAGAATTGCAGTATAAATGTACGTTATGAAAGGTTTTAGGCTTTTCTTCCCCTTTGAGAAACAGATCCATCTCACAAGAGATAAACAACATTAGACTTTGTGGTAATTTTTTTAAAAGAAGGAAACTATAAATGTTCTTTTAAACTTTAAACAGATGCAATGGTATGTGGGAATGACCTTGGGAGATAGGAGAAACAACCACAGCCTAGGCAGAGGGTCTTCAAGGTCATTCCCACATATTACCACAATGCCCCAAACATTTAACGTGTTTCAGTACTGATGGTGTTGAAAGAAATAGATATAACTTGAAGAGAAAAATACTAACTATCTAATATTATACCAAAAGGACATTATTGTTGTTATTCTTATTCTTATTCTTATTATTTTTATTGTTGTTGTTGTTATTGTTATTGTTATTATTATTATTTAAGGAATGCTAAGACTTCTGGAACATTTCAGATAGATACCATCCACTTCTGCTGTTCAAAAATGGTTCATGACCTGTTCTGATGACAAGGCAACTGAGCAATGTGGATATGTTCTTAGGCTGCAGGGTAATCCCAGTAGGATCAATACAGAATAGACAAATACAAACACATGTTTGTAGTTCCACTATGGAAGGAAGTGAACTAACGGAGTAAAGGAACCCACCGCATGCTCATGTTTGAGATTAGCATATTTTTCTCACTTGTTCTTCATCTAAGAAACAAGGTAGAGGGAAATATTGTTCTCCTCCCTATCTGTGCCATGCAATATCGTAAACTGCAAATCCCATAATTCCTAGAAAGCATGGTGGAACATTAGAGCAATTATTTCAGTACAATTTGCAGTTCTAGTAGGTGGTTATACATGTTATTGTTATTATTTTGTTTGCAGGGCACCATTATTTACTTGCCTAATGGCTGTTGTAAGACATGTAAGTATTATAAAACTATATACACTTCCATTCTAAGGAATTAGTCTATATAATGAAGGGGGAGGGGCAATTTAATTATGTAAATAATATTTATTTGAGAGAGGTTCATCCACTTGTACTCTAGCAAATTATTGCTTTACTATTGAAGAAAAATAATAATTTGATAGAATACAAGTGATGCTCATTCTATTGATGCTCTGTTTATACATATTAGCTTGATTAACGAACCATGTTAAAAAAAACAGTTCACAAACATGAAAATATCCCTAGTAAAGAAGGTTGTATTTGTGTGATTAAAGGATGTTTGGCTCCAGATAATAAAGGTTTAGAGTTTTGTTCCTGAAAACATGGTCCTTTCAAGGAAACTAAACTGAAAGGTATTTGCAAATGTTGCAGTATGGCATTATTAAACGATAAGTTTATTAAGGATTTCCCTGAATATTCCTTGATGTTTTGGAAGAGATGAAAAACCTACTAAAAATGTTGAGGGAACAGAAAGTTTTCCTAGTTCCTTTCCCAGTTCCTTTCAGGAACATGCCTGGAAGAAAAGAAGCTATTATCCACCTGCTGGATTATAGGACTGTACACCTGGCAGAGGAAATGGGATAGGTTCTTATTTTAACAAAGTCAAACTATTTTTTTCAGTGAGCTTAGTGATTGGATAGCAATGTATGGAGGCCTTAGCTAATGGTGCTCACTACTATAATTTTTGGTTTAGTTATTTGTGTAGCTATTTTAACTATTTTTAGTAGTGAGGCATTTTTGTTCAGAGAATGCACAGGAAAATTATCTCTCTTTATTTGTTTATATCTTTTTATATCTTCCCAACTTAAAACTAATGGAAGCATCCCTATTTGTACTCTGCTGAAAAATTCCATGCAAAAATTAACTTTCAAAAAAGACTCACTCATTTCACTTCCTATCTCAGGAAAATCTCTGGAGTTTTTTTCCCCTCCTTTGCTGGTACTTTGCTTGTATGAAGTGACCATTCAAAGTTACAATGGCACTGAAAAAAGTGACTTATGACCATTTTTCACACAACTGTTGCAGCATCCCCACAGTCTTGAGAGGCCAGGCGAGGAGATGTGTGCCTCGAAGTGAGTGATATTAAGTTGGCCATGCCCAGCCAATAACATCACCGCCAAGCCATGTCCACCCAGTCACATGACCACCAAGCCACGCCCACCACCTAAGCCACGCCCACAGAACCAGTTGTTAAAAATTTTGAATCTCACCCCTGACTATGCTAAACTATCCAGGAGAGCAAAAAAACTTGAAGTTTATGCTTGCATTTGAATGACAGTCTTTTTATTCCTCTTGTTTGATAGGTATATTATTGGCAGCTACCCCATCGTGCTCTGCCAGTCAAACAATGGACTATATTAATTACAATGGCTGCCGTTCAGAGGATCTCGTCCCTGTGACTCAGTGTGAAGGAAGATGTGGAACTTTTTCAATGTATGTAAAATGCTGAAATCCAATGATATGCTTGTGTGCAAGACAACTCAAGATTTCTATCTTTGTTCGAAGTTATTATATTATCTTTTTTCCCTTCCCAGCTGTGAAAGAACGTGCAATGATAGAGTTGGGAAACAGATGATTTTGAGAAATGAAATAGGATAATGAATGGTTTCCACTTGGAAGAATGATAGGCAGATGGATTATAATAGGCAAATTCCTGATTTATAGATTATTATGTGCAATTGAAAACCTTGAAAGTATTAAAACTGAATTGTAGGGAATAAGCTTTAGGACTGCTGCCAAAGATACATTTTGGTTTTCCTTGGAAAAAGAAAAAAAATTCAGATATTAAAAAAATGGATGACTTTGAGTGTGTTTGAACTAAGATCTTCCTCCTGAGAAACAATATTAAATATTAGTTGTCAAAGATATGACTATTATTGTTATATGAATTACATTAATTATTTAATAATACGGACTATTTAAAGATTCTGTCCTCTCGTTGGATCTTCCAAATTAAGAAAGATAAATTTTGGAAGATTTACTGGAGGAGAATTCACAAGACTTTGGGATGAAGATGTCTTCTTGGAGAAAATGCTTCTCCTAGAAGTTCTCACTGTCCCTTTCTCTTAATCTCAGTCTCTTGGCCCAGCCCACCTCTTCAGCAGAATCACCTGTTATTTGGAGGAACGTTTTTATAAAGTCTTATTGTCCTAGGGAAAAAGAAAAGAAAAGTATTAATCTTCCATATATTCACTTCAACTGATTAATTTCTGGATCCAATCCTCTGTGACCTTTTTTTTCTGATGGGTTTTAAAAAATAGTGTTGCTAGTGGTAGGAATATAATAAAGTAATCTTGTGGTGTAGGCTAAATAGTGAATAGCATTGTAGATCCAGGAGGACAGTGTGTAAACCATGTTTGTACCCTTGCGGAAATCCTATATTCAACTTATTTAGCATTTGAAAGTATCCACAAGAGGAGCAAAAATAGAATCAATACTAATTTGAAATTGCAATTCTTTTTTTTTTTTTACCCTTTTTTGCACAAAATTGATTTTCTTTGTTAAATCTCCAAGAAATAGAGGTTGGATTTTTTGTTGCCTATTTTTGGGAGATTTTATAGAAATCTTAGCATGAATGTTATGAGCATGGCAAAGTTCCCTGTGATGAGTTATGAAAATGCCTGTTTCCAGATACTCTGAAGTAAAACCAAATGTATCTTGATAATCCTTTAAAATAAATTAATTTGACAATAGAAACCAAACAGGGCACAGTTGAGGAGGAATAAGAAGGACCCTAATAATAAGAATAGACCTTTTTAGAGTTCAAATATAGTATGGAACCAAACTAAATACTACATTAGACTGTGCAGGCTTTAAAGTTTCCTTCAATTGAAGAGACTTTACATCAATCTCTCTCACACTCATGAACAAGCATGATTATTTATATCATGCTTATAATCATTTTTATATTCATTTATAATCATTAGAACTTCCAGGAAGGAATGGCTGTTATTCACCTAGTTAATTCATGATAGAGGCTCAATCCAATCCATGAACTTTGTTTATTAGTCACTCAGTCTTTCAACTAATTTTCCCCAAGTTCAGCCAGACTTGGGTTATTTGGGTTCTTTTAATTCTCTTCAATAAAAAATCCTGGGTTTTTCTGCCTTTATTTTAAAAGATGGCACAATATTTCAAGGACATTGTACCTTGACTGGATATTATGGAGGACATAGTTTAAGTTCCTGAAAAATAAGCACCTCTTATGGTAGAGGTTCTGTAATATTACATCCCCAACCTTCAACAAAAGCAACATCTTTAAAAGCACACATAACACGAGCAAATGTAACTCTTTCTTTATTTTGCATCATAAAAACAGATACTCTCCTGAAGCTAATTCCATGACGCATAAGTGCAGCTGCTGCAGAGAGTCAAAGACAGCCAAGAAAGAAATCATGCTGCTGTGTCCTGGTGGCATCAGAAAGAAATACCGTTACATCCATGTGGAACACTGTGAGTGCCTGAACACTGAATGTGGTGATGAGCGAAGCTCCTCAGAAGAATATAGGGAGGACAAAGAAATCATCACGCAACCACCCCAGGCTATCAGGAACAGAAGTACGAAAGCTTTGGAATGAAATAAGATAACTGCTGATACACAGCGAAGAAATATACTGTGACTACACATACTATTATAATCTACCACTTTACCTTACTTTCTACAGCAGGGATGTCCAACCTTGGAAACTTTAAGACTTGTGGACTTTACCTCTCTGCATTTTGCTGACTAGGGAATTCTGGGAGTTGAAGTTCACAAGTGTTGCCAAAGTTGGACACTTCTGTTCCACAGCCTTCTCGGTCTGACTATCCTTTACTATGCTCACTTATTTATTTGCACTAAAAATAAAACTAAAAATATTTTCTCCTATATATAAAAAGAAATGAAGGATGTATCGTATGACTTGGACTGTTGAATTAGCTTCTTTTGCTTTGGTTAATTAAAGGCATATTTCACAAGCGAGGTCTCCATTTCTGGTTTTGTTGACACATTTTTGAGTTTCTTAAATCTTGGGCTTCTACTCTTATAAAATTTATGCTTCAGATGAATGTTGCTGATCTATGAGGGAAATGCCAGTAACTTGCTGAGTTTTCTAGAGGATTTTGCTGGCTTTTTGTCTTCTGATATTTTTTCCATGGTCTTATTGAAGTCCACTGAACTATAAACACTTATACACATGGAAGATAATATTATTCAAGACTGTTTTTGAGCCCATCTATTGCCTGTCTGTGGTACAGTGAAATCTCAGATGATATGCCCAAGACTTAACTGCTCATATTTCCTTCTAAACTAACTTCTTTTTGATTCATATATACATCAGTTGAGAATTGTGTTGACTGTGCTGCCAAAAGCAAAGAGAAATGCTGAAAAGTCAGTAGAAAAAGTTGAAGAGAAGATGGAGAAAGTGCATATACCTTCAAGTCCATTTGTTCTAATATCATGCAAACTTTCATCATACCTTTAGGTACAATTTGATTTTCAAATTAAAATTACAGTTTCAGATTTTTCAAAGTTCTGCATGTTGTAATTTTTACCAGTACAGGGAAGTATATGGATGCATAGATTAAAAAAATCTGTCCCAGTTTTAACAGTACATACATGAAATTGTGTCTTCTCCGTCATGTACTTTTTCCATGTACATCATTGATTTCAATAGAATTATATTTCAGCACTGCAGGCTGTAAGCCAGTTTGACCGTACTATCAATTTTTTTGTGAAAAGATTTAAAACTCCCCAATTATCAATCTCTTCTAGATGTCCATGCTTCAGCTTTTTTCTTTCTTTCTACTTATTGTAAACTGCACCAAATATTTTGGGAGATGGCTATCGAAGAAATTAATAAATGTGTGTGTGTGTATGTGTGTGTGTGTGTGAGAGAGAGAGATGGGGAGGGAGGGAGGAAGAGAGAGAGAGTGAGTAGAAGTCTTTGGCAGACTAATGCTGGTTTACTTCTCTTAAGAAACAACTCTTCAGTAAAATGAGCGGCAAAAATATTTGACGCTAAGCTTGTGCAGAATCAAACACACAGTCAAAATAACAATCATATAGCATTCCTAGCTAAATTTGTTACTTATTTCTTAAGATGAGCAGGTGCTTAAAGTCCTGTATTTGTTTTTTCTTATATGATTTCCCCTAGCTAGTGGTGGAACTCATCTCTGGGGGGAATGAGTCTGCCTACCAAGATGAAGTGAACCGGTTGCTTTCGTGATGTGGAGACAATAACTTGGTCCTCAACATCAATAAGACCAAGAAGCTTATAATGGACTATAAATGGAACAGATCAGACATCCAGCCCTTGCTTATCAATGGAGACCAAGTGGAGCAAGTGGCCAGTTTTAAGTTTTATGGGTGTTACCATAAAAGAGGACCTGATCTGGGGTGCTCACATTGCAGCACTGGTCAAAAGGGCTCAGCAGAGACTCTACTACCTGAGACTTCTCAGAAAACAACAATTGAATCAAAAACTGCTGGTGACCTTCTACCACTGCACCATAGAGAGTATCTTAACTTACTGCACCTGTGTATGGTTTGCAAATTGCACAGTGGCAGATAGGACAGCACTCCAGAGGATTAACGTCATTGCCTGATCATAGGTTGCCCTCTCCCCTCTTTGGAAGAGCTTTATAGCTCCCGCTGCCTTGAGAAAGTTCAAAACATTCTCAAAGATCCATCTCATCCTGGGCACCCTTTTTTGAACTATTACCATCTGGGAGACAGTACAGGATAATAAAAACAAGGACAAATAGGCTGAAAAACAGCTTCTGTCCCAGGGCAGTAACTCTATTGAATTCTACTGTGTAATGTAGTGTTGGTGCGATGTCAGGGGTTTTCAATTCAGTGTGTGGAGTGTGAAGGAGGTGTGTTTGTGTTTATTTATAATGTGTTGTTATTGATACAGACAGGAAGGGGGCATACATTTACTCTGTCAGTTTTCTGGCTCATATCCGTGGACATTGTTTTTAAGGTCAAGCTTAAGAAATGCTTTTCAGATGCAGAAGCCATACTGGCTGAGGATATTGAAAATGAAATCCAACATATATTGGGGGCACCAGCAGGCTGCAATACTCCATATGACTTACTATAGATCTCTGTTGCCAGTTAATATTGGCTATATATCATAAGAATTACTTTCAAGGAGCATTCTGTCCATTGCATTTTATCCCTCGAGATAATACAGATACCCTTATGCTGAGGTCACAGTTCATAGTCATTATAATGAATACTCATATCTGTAGCCACACCACTTACCACTTATATTTTTTACTTAGTCTTGGCAGCAAAGGTTTTTTGGTCTGCAGTGCAATATAGATGAAAACATGTTCTTTTACTCTGAAGCTGCAAATCAAGTTTGAAATAGATTTTTGTACATATATTTTTCTGAATGGTATACAGTGTTTTCTCTTCGTTTTTGCTTTTGCACAAAAAGAAGTATGGACATCCAAAGGAGGATTCATTGTTTGGCTCCTATATTTTGTACTGCTAACAGATCTACCTTCTTGTGTGTGCTTAAAAATAACAGTTCCAATGACCTTACTGAAGATAAACCACAGCCAACGAAAGTCTAATATCCACTTATTGCTAAGCCTCCAAAAACTGTTCTTTGAGATGAACATTAACAAATAGGGCATATTATCACATATCTATGAAGTCACAGGAGTCAAGCTCCACTTGTGGAAGTGTTCTTCTTTTATACAGTTAATGAAATTGTATATTTTGTAAACGAATGGGCCTTCATATGTATTTGTAGCATAAATGCTTGTTCCTGTTTTAGATGGTTAAAGAAAGCAGCCACAGTAGCCACGTAAGTTATTTATTGATATCCCTTTTGTTTTTGATGCCTTCATGTCAGTCGTCACTCATGGCAATTGCCTAGACGAGACTCTGCAGTTTTCTTGGCAAGATTTCAGAAGTGATTGGCCCTTGCCTGCCTTCTAGTGCTGAGAGAGAATGACTGACTGAAGGTCAGTCAGCTGGCTTTCATACCTAGGGCAGGTCTCCACAGCAGTCTAGTGTAGACTGGTGCCTTAACTGGCTTTCATTGATAGCCTTGTATGTACCATAGGATTTTACATATAAATATGAGGACCCAGATTGTTGGGGGCAATATGCTGACTCAGCAAACCGCTTAGAGTGGGCTGTAAAGCACTGTAAAGCAGTATATAAGTCTAAGTGCTATTGCTATTGCTATATACTACAAAAATTATTAGATTGTGAATAGCATTACTGGAGGGGGGTTAATATGCATCAAACCCCATTGCTTGTACTGATGATGTTGAGTAATAAAACACCTACAAGCAAACAACCATGCTCAGAGAGCACCAAGAAATCCATAGAGATAGATAAATAGATTCCTTAGCCAGCTAATAGATAGATAGAACAGAATAATGGAGTTGGAAGGGACATTGCAGGTCATCTAGTCAAACCCCCAGTCAAGCAGGAGAGCCTGTACCATTTCTGACAGGTGGCTGTCCAGTCTCTTCTTGAAAGCTCTCAGTGATGAAGCTCCCACAACTTCTGAAGGCAGAACAGGATGCAAATAGGATGTGCAGTCTGCAAACTCTGCAAGCTGCCAGACCCTGCCAGAAGGTCAATCCACAGCCACAAGTGAGGAAGGCAGATCTAGCTTCTGTTGTTCTGTTCTGCTCTATTATCTACTTATCCCCTTTCATCAGGGATCTTCAAACTTGACAGCTTTAAGACTTGTGGACTTCAACTCCCAGAATTCCTCTTCCAGTCATGTTAGCTCAGCAATTCTGGGAGTTGAAGCCCACAAGTCTTAAACTTGCCAAGTTTGAAGACCCTTGCCTTTCATGTATCTCAACAAATATTTTAAGTAGAATTGTAAGAGACATTTCTTTCCCAATGTATCCCTGCTGAAGATATAGCAATGTCTGTGAACAGATCATATAAATGTACATTTATATGATCTGTTCACAGACATGCTGTATCTTCAATGAAATCTTGGTTTCACATCAATTTCACATCAATGAGATTTTCTCAAGATATACATCTTGTTTTGTGGTTGCTGGATTCTGTTTTTTTTTTTTTTTTACAATAGCTGATTTATACAGTAGCAAATGAAGAATGTAGTTATCAAGATATGTGCACATACACACACAGCTCCAATGCACACTCCTGTTCTTTTAGCCAATGTGGCAACATTTATTTATTAACTGCAAGTTGCCATCTTTCTGCAGCTGATTCATAGCAACTTATGAGAGTGATCAATATCCCCCAGAAACCTAAGTGCCATCTTTTTATTTTCATTGTATTTTGGTACAGAAAGTTCTTTTAAGAGGAGAAAAAGGGAAAGAGTGCAATTTACACTAAGCCGAAGAGATGGAAAGATGCAATTTAGTTAATGACGCCTGTGCCATTGGGGAAAACCATTGCAAATGCTTCATTTTATGTTTCTTATGCCTCCCATTCAGACATTCCTTTGTCACTCATAAAATTAAGCACGGAGGCAAATCCTGTCATGCTACAAAATACTACAAAGAGAGAGAGAGAGAATCTCATTTCGACAGAAGAAAACAAATCAGAGATAGATATCACCATATAGATGAGTGTATCTGCTCG